GTGGGACCCTACCCAGAGAAGCAGTGATGCCAGAGATGGAGGCAGAGACGATGATGTGGAAAGATGGAGCAGCTGGGAACTTTAGACCCAGAGAGGGAGAGGGGCTGTGTGCTGATGACCGGGGGGCAGGCTTACAGGGTAGACCCTTTGGTTGGTTGCTGATACCTGGAGGGGATTGTAACCATGGCAATGAAACAATATACAATAGGATGAATGTAAAACTAATGTTCTCCCATGTAAACTATCACATAATTCACAATAAAACATGAAGAAGAAAAAAAAGGTCATGGTGGGCCCCAGGAAGCAAAGCAAATTCAGAAGATAAATTTCAGTAGTTAAGATTGCATTTGACTGCAAGCAACAGAGAACTTGATTCCAGTGGTTTAAACAGATGGTGATTTATTTTCACAAGTAGTTTGGTTAGTGACAGCCCACGTGTGTATAGCTGTTCAATGAAGCTGTCAGGACCTGTCTCCTATCTTCCTGCTCCACCATCCTTAGCATATTAACTTTCATTCCATTGCTTATTCTACTGCTGGCCATCCCCAGGATGGAGTCTCGGCTCCAGGAAAGCGAATACCAGGGAACACAGCAAACCTCATGGTTTGAACTGGGCCACCTTCATGCATGTGTTATATACTTGAAGTCCCATGGTGTGCCACCCTGTGTGCACCATCTTGGAGTACTTAATAGTTCTTTCATTCTGTACTGGGCTCCATGTTTATGTCAGAGATGCAGGCTGGACCTCTGTTTCTCCTAAGTATTTCAGTCGACATCATAAATAACCGAGAAATTCTAGAAATTACACTCCCTGGATTCCATTGAGTTTCATGAATCAGAACCTCTGGTCTGGGACAGGACCTAAGACTCTACGTTCTAACATTCACTTTGGCGATGAGTCTACGGCCATGGGAAAGTTTGGGAACCATTGCATTAAAGAGTGAATGTTTCCATTTTCCAGAAGAAAAGGAAAAGGTTGTTATGAGCTGCTGCTTCTTTCACATGGGGCCCAACACTAGGTAAAGTGAGCCTTGGGAGGGACCCATGTAACTACTTGCAGAGGGAATTCCCTGTCATCACAAGACCTGGCTGTAGGTCTGTCACTAGACAGAAGCATCACCTTACACCTTGATTCTGAAAGGGCTCTTGTCTGCAGATGGTCAGGGGATCAAGCTGCCATCCACTTTGTGACCGTCCCCCTTCTCTAACTGGCCATCTCTGGGCTCTTGTAGGAATCTTGACCAAGCCTGACCTAGTGGACAGAGGCACAGAAGGAAAGGTGGTGGACGTGGTGCGCAATCTTGTCTACCACTTGAAGAAGGGCTACATGATCGTCAAGTGCCGGGGCCAACAGGACATCCAGGACAAGCAGAGCCTGGCCGAGGCTCTGCAGAGAGAGCAAGACTTCTTTGAGGACCATGACTATTTCAGGTACATGCTGCAGTGAGGTACCAAGGGAACACTGGAACCAAGACACCTGTCCCTTACTCAGGACGTTACAGCTGGTAGAAAGCCAATGTGTGAACTCTGTGTATGTGAGTGTGTCTGTACCTTGGTAATGACTAGGAAAATTGTTTAGAAAGATACAAGGGAAATTAACAAATAATAGCAAAGAGAGGGAGAGATAATGATGGTAGATGGATGGATAAATAGATAGAAATTTTATCCCAACCAGTAAAAGGCTAGAATCAGTAGAATAGTTGGTATTGGGAAATGCATAAAAACATAAATAGAGTACTAGAAAACCCAGAAACAGAACCCAATACATATATTTAATACAAGGGCTACAGAATGTTCATGGAAATATGGAATTAAAATAAGACTGAATTTTTCCATGAGCTTTTTGAAGCCCCCTCATGTATTTATTGTTGTTAAGTGCCATTGAGTCTGTTCCAACTCATAGTGACCCTATATGGAATTTTCAAAGATTGGCTGGTGGGTTTGAACCACTGGCCTGTGGTTAGCAGTCCAGTGCTTATCATATGACATTACAAATCACTTTGCTTATCCAACCAATGGTATTGGAATAATTGTTTAATACTTAGAAAAGTTTAAATTGTGCACTTAGCGCTTTAACTTACACTTTATGTCAAAGACTTAGCAGTTGTATTTTTTTAAAATTAAATATACAAAAGAAGCCATAAACATCCTGGAAAAAATGTAATTGGATTCTTTATAATTTTGTAGTCCTGGGGTGCAGAAGGTCATTCTAACTCTAGTACCCATTGTGAAATATTTTTTAAAAGAAAAGACTGATAAAATGGTTTGGGTTTAAAAGAACGAGACGATGTAGTGTTTGGCACACAGAAAATGAGGAGTGGGATTTTCAAAGGGCTGCTGGGTGCAGGTGTGCCCAGCACAGCCTTTTGTATGGTGATTTGGTGTCATGCGAATAGTCCTGGCAAAGGTACGTCTCTGTGGTTCAGCGTTCCACTTCCAGGAATCACCTGAGACGTGTGCCATGGTATTGGCTAGAGGGTATTCAGCACACAGTATTTATAATCATGAAAACTTGGAAACGTTCTAAATGGTGAAAATCAGGGGGACCTATAAACAGACAACAGTGAGCTGGCATGGTGTTTAGAGCCATTAAAAGCTGTACTCTATTAGCAGGGAAAAGATAGGATTGGAGTGATGCAACATGCTCACCAAGATCCCTGTGTGCACAGATGCATATGTAGGGGGTGATGCCTCTGCTGTCTAAGCAGTATTAAGGCCAATCTTCCCAGAAGACTGCAGTGGGGTGTGATTCATAGTGGGCACGTATACAAGCTGAAGCTAAACTGTGAGTTCTCTGATGTAATGAGACGTGATGACGTAATGAGATCGTACCGCTGTGATCCCTAGGCTTTTCATTGAGTGATTTCCAGAAACATATCACCATACCTTTCTTCCTACTTCATCTTAGTCTAGAAACCCACTCAGCATCAAAGTGACACTTGAGCATCCTCCACTGGCAAATATGTGGTAGCTGTGTATGAGGTACATTGGCTGGGTATCAAACTTGCGTCTCCCACAGGGAAATTGAGAATTCTGCCACTGCACCATATCTGTCTGCTTGTTGTTGTGAAGTCCTGTCGAGTTGGTTCCTACTCATGGCGACCCTATATAGAGTTTCTGACGAGAGGCTGGTGGGTTTGAACCACAGACCTTGTGGTTAGCATTTCAATGCTTAACCTACATTGCCACACTAGGACTCCCAATAGGTGTGTTCGTGTATTTTAATGCACTGGACTGCAAGGTTTGTTTAAACAAGGTCGGCGGTTCAAGCTTACTATCTGCACCTAAGAAACCCTATACAGGGTTGCAATGAATCAGAACTGGCTCTTCGGCACTTAACAATAACAACAACATTCTTTAGTCAGGAGTCCCAGGGTAGGAAAAAGGGTTTAGCGTTTGACTACTAACTAAAATGTTTGAAATTTGAATTTACCCTGTGGACTATGGTTCTACTCTAATACATGTGTGGGATTCCTTAGAGCAGAATCAACTTGATGGCAACTAGCTTGATTTGGTTTTTGATTCTGTAGTGAGACATCCTGAGAGACACGGTTAGTATGACAGCTGGAAGGGAGAATTCTATGCCAATGTTGAAATATCCAAGAGCATTAAAACCCAGTTATCTTTATTTCTGACTATTCGTTACAAGACATTCCATTCAGTTGGACGTCATTAGATATCCCTTGGATTTCCCCAGTAGCAGAATGTGAATTAGCATGCTATAAGCCATGCCAAGATGGAATTCCATGTTGTGTGGTCTCTTTCAGAATTCTTCTGGAAGAAGGAAAGGCCACTATTAAGAATCTGGCAGAAAAACTCAGCATTGAGCTCATCATACACATCAGCGTAAGTACATGCTGGGGTATCCATTCTATAAATGTTGAACCTTGTGGGCTTCTTTAACTTGAATGTGCTCATGTTACCTGGGGCTGTGCTGAAATGCAGACTCTGATTCAGAGGGTCTGGGGCAGGCCTGAGAGTCTGTATTTCCACCAGCTCCCAGGTGACACCATGGCCACCTGGACCACACTTTGCATGGGAAAGCAATTGGATGAAATCCATGTGGCCCAAATGAAAATTGAACCTTTATTTTAGTGAATTGATAACTGTCATTTAATTCATTTGCCACTCATTAACAACACTGTAATAACCCTTCTGCTCCTATTCCCAACTACTGGTATCATCTCTTAGTCATTTTCATTATCAGACTCGTCATTTCTCGGTATTCTTCTTTTGTTTCTGTGTAGTCCTTTTTCAAATCTGCCTGGGTATCATCTCTGCATTTTCCAGCTTGCCCATCCTTTGTAAAGACTTGGTTACACATATTGATGTTGCATTTGTTGACTGTGACGGCAGAAGCCCTGGAGGGTGAGGTCTGCTGGTCATTGGCAGATTCTCCCCAGGTCTCTCTGGCTTTGGGCTGAAGTGTTAACTGGGAGCCTGTTTTTCTTGCAACATGATCTGTGAGTGTGTGGATGGAGGCCTGCGGTGACTCTCCAGGGAAGGTCAGCCAGGCCCCTAAGAGACCTCTAGCTTGAACCACATTAGTTTCTTCTCAGCTTGGGTTGTAGGGGCTACTCAGCAGATGGGATTGGGCAGCAAACCTCATAGAGGGCTATCTTGTAGTCATAATTCTCAGCGGAGATTCTATCTTCCTCTCACTTAGAGTCAGAGCTCAAGGGATTTTGTACAGTCCCCAGGAGTGGGGTGGCAGGAACTCTGGTAGCGTAGTGGTTACAAGTTGGGCAGCTAACCTCAAGGTCAACAAGATCAACAAGTTCGAAACTACCAGCTGTTCTGCAGGAGAAAGATGAGGTTCTCTGCTGCCATAAAGATTTATAGCCTCGGAAAACCTGTACAGGCTTAGTATGAGTTGGAACCGACTCCACGGCACATAACCACCGTCACCACCACTAACCATTATAAGGATGGAGTCCCTGGGTGATGCAAATTGTTAATGTGGTTAGCTGCTAATCAACAGGTTGGAGGCTCATGTTCACCTAGAAGTGCTTTGGTAAAAAGGCCTGGCAATCTGCTTCCTAAAACCCAGCTTTAACAGTCCCATGGAGCTCAGTTCTACCTTGCCATGAGTTGAATTTGACTGGAGAGCAACAGTGGGGTGGGGGTGATGTTATAACAAGAGTGTTGTTGTTGTTAAGTGCCGTTGAGTCGATTCCAACCCATATCAACCCTGTATAGGGTTTCCAAGGAGCGGCTGATGAGCTTGAACCGCCAACCTTGTAGTTTAAACTGACTTTGCAGTCCAGCACATTAACCCACAGCGCCACACCAGTACTCCTTTTTTAACAGGAGTATATCTCTCTCTTATTAGTTTACCCAACCTGAATAGACCCACCCACTACCCACAATCAGGCTTTGAAACTCAAGTTCAAGTAAGTCACTGCCACTGAGTCGATTCCAACTCATAGCAATTCCATATAGGGTTTCCAAGACTGTAAATCTTTATAGGAGCAGACAGTCTCATCTTTTGCCCACATAGCCACTGCTGAATCTGAACCTCTGAACTTGCAGTCAGCAGACCATTGCTTATCCCACAGCACAACCAGGACTACTTCTAGTTGTACTTGTTGTTGTTGTTGTTGTTGTTAGATGCCATCGAGTTGGTACCGACTTATAGTGACCTTATGCACAGCAGAACGAAACACTGTCCGATCATGGGCCAACCTCACCATTGTTGCCACGCTTGAGGCCATTGATACTGCCACTTGGCCAATCCATCTCGCTGGAGGTCTTCCTCTTTTTCTCTGACCCTCCACCTTACCAAACATGATATCCTTCTTCAGCAACTGGTCCCTCCTAACAATATGTCCGAAGTATGAGAGACGAAGTTTGGTCATCCTGACCTCCAAGGAGCACTCTGGCTGCACTTCTTCCAACACAGATCTGTTTATTCATTTAACATCCCATGATACTTTCAATATTCTCCTCCAACTCCATAACTCAAAAGCATCAGTTCTTCTATAGTCTCCCTTATTTACTGTCTAGCTTTCACATACATGTGAGGTTATTGAAAATACCATGGCTTGGGTCAGGTATATCTTAGGTCTGAAGCTGACATCTTTGCTCTTCAACACTTTAAAGAGGTCTTGTTCAGCAGATTTGTCTAATGCAATACGTCCTTTGATTTCTTGACTGCTGCTACATGAGTGTTGATGGTTGATCCAAGAAAAATGAAGTCCTTAACTTCTATCTTTTCTCCATTGATAAGAATGTTGTTTATTGGTCCAGTGGTGAGGATTTTTGTTTTGTTTACATTGATATGCAAGTACGAGTAGTCTCACCTAAATAAATGACCTGAAGTCACACCCAGCTTCCTTGCTGCCTTCTCCTGTCCCTCTGGGTCCGACAACCACTTTGCTTTGGCCTTTGGGGAGCCCCTATCAACTCGTCAGCTGATTGCACTCTTTTGCATCTTCATCACGATCTTCATGTGTCTGCAGTCCATAATAGCCCACCTGTCACATTGTCACAGACAGAATCTCTGATACCTTTTTTTTTTTTAAATCTGTGAAAAGTAACAGAAATGTTGTTAGATCTCATTATTCTTATAGGCACTTTCTAACAACTCAGAAGGTGAGTAGAGTTCCAATTTCCCTGCAGAGAGCTTATGTGAAACAATCGCGGTACCTTAAGAGTATTGTGCTGGGCAAGAGCAGCTACAAACAAGGTCACATGTTGTGTGACTGAGTTTATACAAAATATCCAGAATAGGTAAATCCAGAGAAAGAGAATCCACATAGATGATTGCCAGCGACTGGGTGAGAGGAACCCACTATTTAATGGATATGGGGTTTCTTCTTATGAGTGATGTAATGTTTAGGAACTAGATAGGTGGTGGTGGTCATATGCTATGGAGTCATTTCCGACTCAGAGTGACCCTGTACAGGGTTTCTGAGGTTGTAAATCTTTATGGGAGCATAAAACCTCATCTTTCTCCTGTGGAACGGTTCGTAGTTTCGAACTGCTGTCCTTGAGGTTAGCAGCCCGACTCGTAACCACTACGGAACTAGATCGAGGTGGTGGCTATTCCTTGTGCGTGTACTAAATGCTCCTGAATTGTTGGCTTTAAAGTAGCCAGTTTTATGATGTATGAATTTCACGTGGGAGACCTTGATGAAAAGCCTGGGCTGCCCCTTGGTGTGTTTGGAAACATGTCTCTTTTAAAGAAAGCTGAGAAGCCAAATCAGCCATCAGCTACTCCTTCTCATTCTCTGATGCCATGATGTATTTCCTTTATTCTCTCTCTACTTTCTGTAGAAATCTCTGCCACTCTTAGAAAAGCAAATAAAAGAGAGTCACCAGCATATAACAGAGCAGTTACAAAATTACGGTACTGACATCCCACAGGATGAAAGCGAGAAAATGTTCTTTCTGATAGACGTGAGTACTGCCAAACACACACACAGTTGTCTCCAAAAGTGATTGTGTGCTGGGACACTTCTTCCTTCACCCAAAACTGATCCCCATCCCTTCTGCCCATTTCATACTGAAAGTGGGGGATGGGGAGACTGGACCTTGGATGGAAAGAGGGGATTGGGAGGATGGAGGTGGCCTTGAGGGCATGTATGCAATGTGATAATTGTGTTCCAGCACTAACCTTGTATCTTGAGCCCTCACCTGGGATCTACAAATTTTAAGGGGAGGCCTGGGAGAATCTTCGTCAACATGCTTTCACAGTGGTCAACCCTTGGCACACACCAATTTTTGTGATGCTTATATTTGGTGTTTCTCAGCTCATGCTCATTTTCTTTGACAGAAAATCAGTGCATTTAATCAGGATATACTTGCTTTAGTACAAGGAGAAGAGTTAGTAAAGAAAGAAGAGAGTCGGCTGTTTACTAAAATCCGACATCAATTTAGTGAATGGAGTGATAAGATTGAAAAGAATTTTCAGGAAGGTGAGTCCGAGTGTCTGTTGTGAACTTGGGACGTGGGGTTGAGACTGAGGTGGTAAACTAGTGGATGTCAAAGTGGGGAGTTAGTGGTTGAGCCCCATCAGAAGTATTGGTGTTTGCCTGTTCCACGTTACTGAACTTCAGCCAGTAAGCATGTGTTACTGATTTCAAAGGATACCCAGAGAGGAAATGCAAGTGAATCAGCCCAAATAAATACCGGCTCCTAGAAACATCAGTGTCCCTCAATAGTGAATATTACGATGACATATGCACCATATGCATTGTGAAACAAATGGCACCATCACTGGAACAGCCCAGATCTGATCTTGGTTCAGTGGTAAAGATCTTGAAGCCTGTTGTCTCTCTGAATAGCTTTTCTACACAGGAGATAAAAGAAAATAAAATTTCATGACATGTACTGTCCTTGCATCTCTGAGTTCTCAAGAAACAGTAAAAGGTAGAAAACTACTTTTTAGTATTCCAACAAGTCCAAAGGAAATTGGGACTCCTGGTGTGGCACTGTGGGATCAGCAATGGACTGCAAACCACAAAGTCAGCAGTTCAAACCCACCAGCTGCTCCTCGGAAACCCTGTAGAGGGTCACTATGAATCAGAACTAGCTCAATTGCATTTAACAACAACTTAACAGCATACCAGAAACCTGGGTTTGATTCCTGACCAGTGTACCTCACGTGCAGCCACTGTGCCTGTCAGTGAAGGCTTGGATGCTGTGATGTTGATTGGGGTTTAATGGTGCTTCTAGACTAAGGTAGACTAAGAAAAAAGGTCTGGGAATCTACTTCTGAAAATCAGCCAGAGAAAACCTTTTGGATCACAGTGATCCAATCCACAACAGATCACAGGACTGAGCAGCATTTTATTCTGTTGTATACAGGGTCACCATGATGTGGAGACAACCAACTTAGTGCCAGCTGATAGCAATAACGAAGGAAATCAGATATTGTCTTTGGTAAATCCATAGAGTGGAGGAACCTTCAAGAAGCTTTGCTTTTACTCAAACAACTTACAGCAGGCGTCCAGTTGGTTTCAGCGGGGCACCTTCTCCATGGCTTTGAGTAATAACTATGGGAAATAAGTAATATGGTTTTTGTTAGGCTACCTCTTTGTATCCATTGGTTCCTTGACAGAGAAAGAGCACTGAGTACAGATGATATAAATAACAGAGCCTGATGATGAGGGGATATTTGGGAAACTCTATGCTTGTTTCTGGGGCAATAGCATGCCACACTCATTCCATACTGCTTCTTGTGTCCAGAGAGCAGAGGGTGGGGACCTCCTTGTGGGTGTGGTGTGTCTGTTCCTCTCAAGGAAGACAAAGGTTCTCACTTTTCAGAAACTCCTTTATGGTTGCCCAGCCAGCTCATTATCATAAAAACTCAACACAGGCAACCTAAAACAAAATCCAATTGAACAGTGTGACTCCCGGGACTGGAATGGATGTTTTTTCCAGAGAAGCTATATAAACCATCAACAAGCATGTGAAAACACACTCAACATCATTACTCCTTGTGGTTGTTGTTCAGTGCCATTGAGTCGGTTCTGACTCATAGCCACCCTGTATAGTGTTTCGGAGTCTGTAAATCTTTGCAGGAGCAGAAAGCCTAATCTTTTTCCTGGGGTGCAGCTGATGGGCTCAAACTGCTGGTCTTGTTTGTGGTTAGCAGTCCAGCACGTATCCTACAGAGCCACAGCATTAGGGAAATGTAAATCAAAGCCCACACTGAAATAGCACTTGATGGGTATGATGTCATGAATATATTAAAAGCTGCTTACTTGTATACTCTGTTGTAATGTGCCTTCAAGTCGATTCGGACTCATAGAGGCAGCGTGGAACTGTCCTGTAGGGCTTCCAAGGTTGTAATCTTTCTGAGAGCTGCTGGTAGTTCAAACCATTGACCTTTTGGTTAGCAGTTGAACAATTAACCTCTGCATCACCAGGGATTCCTTTTATACTTTGTTGTTGTTTAAATGCCATCAAGCTAATTCTGACTTATAGCAACCTTGTATAGGATATTGTGGGGTTTTTTTTAATGCTTTATTGTGAATTATGTGATAGTTTACATGGAAGGACATTAGCTTCACATTGATCCCATCGTATATCATTTCCTTGCTATGGTTACAATCCCTTCCATGCATCATCCACCAACCAAAGGGTATATCCTGCAAACTTGCTCCCTGGTCGTCCGCACACAGCCCTGCTTCCTCTCCGGGTCCAAAGTCCCCAGCAGCTCCATCTCCCCACATCATCGTCTCTGCCTCCATCTCTGGCATCACTGCTTCTCTGGGTAGGGTCCTGTTCTCCGCTTTTCTCCCTTGATGGTCCCAGGGACCTCTGCTCCTAGACTGCAAAGTTAATCACTTCCCTCCCTTTGCCACAAAACGTCTACCTTTAAATTTCCAGTCCGTACAATCAGTCCTGATAACCATTATTCGCTATTGAATCACAAGAGACCTATTCGCATCTCCTTTCATCAGCCCCAACTAGACAGAATGGATACTACTCAGTGGAGATTCTACCTTGCTCCATGCCTCCTGGATCTAGGCTCCCTCTTGAAAGCTTGTAAGCCAGTCACTTCTTGCCTCTGTAGCACCCCCATTCTTGGTAGCCAATGTCCAAGTTGCCCATCCCTGTCGTCTCTGTGTGTGGAGGGAGGTGGGGGAATGATTCTCGCTGTGAAGATTTATTCCCTCTTTTGAGCTACTGCTTCCATAGGTGTATGTCAAGTTCATCAAATTGTATCAGATTATTCTTTTTTCCCTCTTCTTTCTTCTTCTGGTTGAGCTCTGATCATCCAGTCATTGAAGCCAGGTCAAGTGGGTATTATCTGCAAGTGTGGGTGTACTTATGCATGTGCCCTCTCTTCTTATCAGCTGGATGCTTCACTCTCCACTCTAGTCCTCTGTGACTATGTTACTGACTCTGGGTCCAAGAGTCCCCAGGTCTTGCCACACTGCTGGTCAACCAGGTCTCCATCCAGGTTCACAGGAGTCTATTGAGCATAGTAGGGCTTAGTTCACAGCTTCATTGCTGCTTTTCCCTCACTCCCTTTTATTGGTGTCGAACATGGTCACCAATCAGAGCGTGTATTCCAGCTTTGAGAGGGACCCAACCACTTACCTTGATGTCTTCTGGGTGAGCCACTTGTTTGTTCTTGTAATAATCAGTTGATCTGCCTATATTGTTTTGTATTTTTCCTGAAATTCTTTCTTTCAGGAAGTATCTTCTGTTCTTCTGGCCGCTCCAGGATGGTCTGCTTGTTTGTATAGGGTTTTTGAGAAGTGGCTGGTGGGTTTGAACTGCCGACCGTAAGATTAACAATCTAGTACTTATCCTCCAATACCAGACCAGGACCCCTTAATATGGTGAATTTTATGATAAGTGTAATATGTCTCAATAGGATAAGCACTAGATTACTAATCAAATCCCCTAGCCGCTCCTCTGAAGCCTTATACAGGGTCTCTATGAGTCCACAATGATTCAATGGCACATAACTGCAACAATGAGACGATATCTACTTACCACAAGAGGGCACCAGACTACAGTCCTTGGTCAGTTCCCCAAAGAGAACCCAACTAAAACTAAACCCATTACAATCAAGTAGAGTCCCTAGAGCTCTGGGATTTCTTGCAGGCTTCTTGAGCATTTCTAAAAAGGTGTTTCTCCAGAAACTGCTGGTATAAAAACAATTCCAAAGTATAAGGTAGTAAATAAGTGTTTTATGCATGAAACAAATGATACCATGCTATATCATGATTTCAAGTGTTGCACATTTGATTTACAACACTTTGTACTGATGCTTCTGCACATGAAACCCATGAGGAGTTGATCCAATGCAGTGCTGCGGTCATTTCTATTCCTTAAAGGGCACAAAGGTCTGTGTAAGGAACATATGAATACTCTACCTTAGTCAGGCCTCAGTCACATAGTCTATATTAGAAAATTCACATACTGGCTAAAAGTATTCTTGGGGTTTTGCAGACATGTAAATTTGCAGAAACCCATCACCTTGCATTCTGACCCAAAGAGACTTTCTAGTATAGTGTAGAACTTCCCCGTAGGGTTTGCAAAGCTGCAAATCTTTTTTTCTCTGTGTGTGTGTCGTTCCACAGCTTTGCTTCCTTCCAGCCTGCTTTTTTTTTTTTTTTTTT